GATCATGGATTTTTTTGAGTATTTTTTGTAAATAAATAAAACAAAATAAAAATTAATGATATGATCTATTTTAGCAAATGATGAACTCAAATTTTGTGGATCATTGTTTTTTTTTTCTTTGAATGCACAATTTATTGGGATAAAAATTAAGATAACATGTCTTCTTATTTTTGTATAGAACGCACACCGCCTTAACTGCCTATTAATTAATCAAGCATTATAACAGCTTTTTAAAAATAGAAATTATTTTCAATCAACACATTTTAAAATAGTAACCTGGCTTTTTTCTTTTCACAGTTACGCCTAAGAGGAAATGGAAAGCTACATGTAAGCCGATATCTATGTCATGCACAAGAATAGATAATGATAGTTTAACTTTCATATCATTTTTTAGTTTTACTTGTGCAGATTTTAATTTAAACAATATATTTATATTATAAATAGACACAATTTTGTATAAATACATTTTTAATGTTTTAAATGAACTTTCATTTTAACTTCAAATTTAATTTATTTTCAAATTTTTTCTAATTCAAACTTCAACTATAAATGATGGAATCAACAACCAATGACAGCCACACTAATGGAGGATACTGCAACAACCATTGTTAGATCCAATCGATGATACTGCAACAATCAATGTTGTATCCAATGGATGACCCAACAACCACTGTTTTAGATCCCATGGATGACTCATCAACAACCAATCTCATGTTAGCTGCATTTCTAATTTACTACAGTTTTAAGAAATATTTACATTTTATAATTTTTATATTTATTTTTAAAAGCTAAAAACATTTAAAAGCTAAACATTGATTCTGGTTTTAAAAAAACTTAAATATTTTAACATATATTTATCATAAAAAATGTCATGGCTGTATCTTAATGTCTGGTTTTGTCCCTATTCTTCTAGGTTTGAGAACATCTTAAAAAACTCCAACATGATGTCAATTGAACTCTAGACATTGCAGTGCTGTATGGAATATTTTCTCAGCTTGCTTCTTGTTATTTTATGAGCTCAAGTAAACAGCCTAAATATATATTATACAATTTATTCAATAACCCAAATTTCTTATTTTACTTAACTGGTTCAGTAACTCCTGATTTGGCAGTAAAATCATTTGTGAAAATCCAATCTATTTGTTGTAATGAATGTGTGACAATAAAATGTAAAATATTGTGCCCGTTAAATTTAAAACATAAAGAGTTACTAAATAATACAATGTAATACATTGTTTATGGTGTAAATATACTTAAACATTTAATTTTTACAATGCCATATATTCATAAAATTTCTTTATGTCAACATAAGTGATTTTTATTTAAAAAATACTCTTCTCACATTAGGATAGTTGAAACACATTCTCATTTAAAATTTTAAAATGTAAAACAGTTATTTAAAATTTACCTAAATATAAAAAAAATTTACATAGGTAGCCAATGCTAGTTTTGCTGTATAGATGAAATTGAGGTTTTCATTTTATTTTATCAGTTTTTATTGGGATGTAGAATAATTTGCCAACACAAATGAAGGAAGCTTCCAATGTTTCTGTTATATGATTGAACTGAATGATATAATAAAATAATTTAACTACTAATCGATTTGTTTTGGTTGTTTTTATTTCATTTGTTTTCAATAGTTGTGGTATATTAAATGCTTAAACTATCAAAACTTTGTCCCTTTTATGGAAAGTTAAGGATTGGACATTTTACATTCACTTTATTAACTGTTTTATTTGATACTAATTATTTCATTTTTTTCACTTTAAGTGTTGAGTGCATTCAATAACTTTGCATTTATTAATCAATCAAAGTAGGGTGTTAACGATTCAATTAAGATAAAAAACATCGAAAGGAACATTTAGATGGTTAAATATACACAAGCTTTATTTATAATATTTATATAAGAGAGAGAGAGAGAGAGAGATACATAATAAGATCCTTCCCATGCCAAACTTGGGAAAAAAATACAGAGCATTGGATCTTTACTAATATCTTATTAAGGTTTTAGTCTGTGGTTACACATTTTTATTTTAGGACATAATTCACTTTGTTTTCTGTTTTTTGGTGTCCCTGTGCATCATTCTGATATCTGTAAAGTTTTCTAATGCACAAAGAAGTGTTTGGATCTCATTCCTACTACTAAGTCTTGCTGTAAAAATTAACATATTGTTTGAGGTCAGTGAAAAGGAGATTCACCTAGACAAATAAAATGAACTCTCTGCTTACTTTTGGAGTATTACTAATAATTAAACTTGAATATTAGCTATCATTGAACAATTGATAAAATTATCAAAAACTTTGTGTACAAGTTCTTTAATGAATGGCCCTAAAGTTGAAATAAATTCTGTACATTATAATCAACTCTAATTTTACTAATTATATAAAGTTTAAATATTAATTAATAAATACAAAATATCAGGTAGTTGAATCAAAACAATTATATAATTGTAAAATAAATTGTCCTAATTTTAAATAGAAGTTTTATAAATTCTTAAATAATTTAATATTTATTATTTAAAAGAAATATGGTCAAAGAGAGATAACCAAGAAATTTTTTTAATTGGAAGCAAATTTTTTTACGGTCAAAGGGAAATAACCCCCACAGATAAAATTCACCAAAAAAAATAAAAAATGGGAAATAACTGTTGCATTCTTGAGATCTTAAAAATAAATACACGATAGCCTCTCTTTGACCGTAAAACTGCAATATTGAGATTTTAAAAAAAAAATTGATACGACAGCCTACCTTTTACCGTAAGAATTAAAGAAAGTTTAGTCCTGCTGTCATATTCGTAAATTTGTAAAGGTATTGATGGATTTTTCTGATCACTAAATTGAATTAAAATTTACAAAATAATCGTGGTAATAATTTTCGTTTTAACCTATAAATGCTTAAAGGCCGTGTCAGTTGTGTTGAACAAGACTCAGGTTGTCATGAAACGTTTTCGTTTTAAATAAATGACTGTATTTGATATCACACAATGGTAACTTTGTAATGATGAAAACCAGGGGAAATAAAAAAGGCATGGAAAAAGAAAGATAACACAAACGTATATTTAATTAAGTTTATATGCTTATAAATTTGAAAGGCGTGTGCAATTAACATATTCCGATTATGATTTAATGAGCAAAACCATGTTTAAAACGTCAAATACATACTATACCTAATTAATATGCCTTTCTTTATGCTATATTAGCAATTTAATTTTGTATATTCAAATTTACAAACACCTTTTACAATTATCTATGCCTTAAGTATAAGTTAAAAAATATCGGGGATGGTGGTCGGGGTGGATGGAAAAATAAGGGCAAATCAGCAAAATTAAACCCGGATCCCATCACACTTAAATAAAACGCAGAATTGCGACACAGGGGGAAGAAGATCCCCCTATAGATGAGATAGTGGATACCAATGAAGATTCCAAAAAGAAAAAAAAATATAGAATGATGAAAAGGGGAGACAACTCCAGCCGAACAAAGGGAAGCAACCCACCCCCAAAAACACACGACCATAACCTCATACTCATAACAAAGCCAAATGTAAGTTTTTAAATAATTTTTATTATTTTCCATGTTACAAAATAAACAATAAAGATGCATTATGAAAAGTAAAAGATACTCTCATGTTAATCATTAATGAATACAAACCCCCAAATCCAATGTGAAGCCTGAAAGCCTGTTGGGAAAACCCTGGCTGCTTGAAGAAAGTGGCTGTCAATCTAAAACACATTGCAAATTCACTAAATAAAGGAACAATAAAAAAACATTTATATATATATATATATATACATACAATAAAATAAGACCAACCAGATGAGATGAGAAAGTGAACACAACACAAAGAAAATAATGTGACCAAGCCAGGAATAAAATAAACACAGATAATAAAATAAACACAGTATCTGTGAAAGTCAGAGTGAGCATGCACTAATGATGCATTGGTGGTGGCCCATTAGAAGACATAGACTTGCTTTGCCATTAGTGGCCACAATCAACACAAAGAAATGAAAAAATATTTGTACATTGCTAATACCTGTACAGTTACACACCATGTTAAATGAAATAAATAACGTACAAATCAAACAAAGTAACTTGGTAAATACACCTGCAATCTTAAATGCCACATGTATCTGAGATAACAATTTATCTACTGTACCTTAATACAGTACATAAATGTATTGAAAGAGAAAAGGAGGGTGTTTGCATTGTACCGGTATTCATTTTTTTTTCTGTAATGTAAAATCATAAAAAAAAAATTTTATACACATATAAATATATAATATTATAACATTATATAAGCTATTTTTTTCTTCACATATAAACATAATATCAGAAAAACTAATTTTTTTTCTGCACATATAACATAAAATAAAATTTTATTTTGCAATAAAACTTCACTCTGGCCAGTGAAAAAAGGGCCAAATATCTTTAACAAATAATAGAAAACTATGGACATTTTTTTTAACAATTGTCATTTCAATGGCATTTGTATGAATAAAAACATTCAAATCTGTTTTCATGTAAACCAAACGAGTGTTAACTTAATTTCACAACCAGGTGTATTATGAGAAAGTTAAAAAATGTTTAGATTCCTGTGAATGAAAATGTCGTAGTGGAGAACACAATACAAGTGTACAACACAAGGCAAGTGTACAACATGAGGCAAGTGTGCAACATGAGGCAAGTGTACAACATGAGGCAAGTGTACAACATGAGGCAAGTGTACAACATGAGGCACGTGTAAAACACAAGACAAGTGTACAACACAAGGCAGGTGTCCATCCACACCCCCCCCCCCCCCCC